GCGATGATAACATGGAATGTAATCCACTCTCAAGATCCGTACAATTAACGATGGGTGTCGCTACTGCATCGGCCCTGGTGTGAGGAATATACTGTTTCTCAATCTAAAGAAAAAATTCGAAGTAATATTGAAAGCCACTTCAGGTTTATGATAAAAAATAAAACTCACGCCAATCCACTCTGCAACTAAGAGTTTATATAGCTCTAATATTACCAATGGGCTGATTTCCCTCTTCCGACTGGTATTTGGTTGACTAGTACTAGATAAATATGTAAAAACTAAATTAATAAAACAATAAAAGAAATCTTTTAAAATAATCTTTAGAAAATAAAGCAACAGGGATACCAGATTTATACAAATATTTCTCCGAAAAAAAGCTTTGAAATTTAATACATTATCAAAAAATCTTTATTAATTAAAAAATCCCTAAATACATACTTTTTACTATTTAAAGAACTGATTGACGGTTTAAAATAAAAAGAAATTTATATTTACTGGCATGCTGTTTATTACTGTGGATACCTCATATATGGACGAAAAAAATCACATGTACTAAAAAATAATCAAATATTTCTATATTTTGCCTGGGGGTACAGAGTAAATATCATACGAATGTTTAGCACCAATTCGAGTATTTATGCTTTTACCTTATTCGTGTTGACCTAGTTTATGCGTTAATAATAATTCGTAATTGGTCTCATAGTTTTCCTCGAATGAAATCAAAAAGACTTTAAATTGTTCCATCAAACCTACTTCCTTGGCATTTCCCTATATGTTATAAAAACTCTTTACCAACAATTAATTATTCTTAAACTTCACAACAATTTAAGCTAACAAAAGTTTTAATTAGCATATAATCTCCTATTCTAGAGAAATCAGTCTGGAACCCTATTTATTTAGGTACACTTTTTACGCTATCTAATCCACAAACACTTCGAAATATAAGAAATCCTTGAATGTATAAGGACAATCTATACTGCTGTTAGTAGTATCGATAAAAAAC